GCAGTGGTTCTCAACCTTCTTAATGCTGCGACCCTTTAATACAGTTCCTCATTTTGTGGTGACCCCCAACCATAAAATTATTTTCGTTGCTACTTCATAACTGTAATTTTGCTACTGTTATGAATCGTAATGTAAATATCTGATATGCAGGATGTATTTTCTTCATTGTTAATTGAACATAATTAAAGCATAGTGATTAATCACAAAAACAATATGTAATTATATGTGTTTTCCGATGGTCTTAGGCGACCCCTGTGAAAAGGTCATTCGACCCCCAAAGGGGTCTCGACCCACAGGTTGAGAACTGCTGCTCTATGCCCTCTTCCATCTCCATTCCCCTCGCCACACACACACACACACATACACACATGCGCACGTGCGCCCCCCCCCCCTTCCCCCCAGGACGACTTTTTTTTTTTAAGTTTTACTGAATTTAGGGTAAGTCATTGGGTTTTGTTAGAAAATTGATATACTGTTAACTCTATTGGAAAGGATAAGGAGGTGCTTGGATGACCAAGTTTTTTTCCTTATCGTTTGCTCTAGCTAGCTTGGGGATCTACGTGTAAGAGATTAATCCAGGTAGTTTATTAATATTTTGCAAGTAGGATTTTGGGTTCTTTGGTTAATTTAGGGTTATCAATAATGGTCATTATCATTTTCATTGTTTCAGGATCTTTGCTTTTGTATGTTACTATCTAATTGCTTATTTAACCGATGGAGGTGTTAATGGTTTTTTGGGTTTTTTTATTCTTAAACTCAGTTGTAGAGAAGAATGAGTTGGTGGAAAACACAATAGAAGGCCATGAGTTTGGCTTTGGGTTCTGTTCAACAACCAAATATTACTACTACTATTATATTCTAATTCAGTGAAGTACTCCATCTCTGCTCTGGATCTCATATTTTCCCCTCATCTCAGGAACTTTACACAGCTCAGTATTCCTTCTCTTAAATATTTAATCCCTGCCAACTAACTTCTTCCCTTTGACTTTTTAAAAAATATATATTTTTATTGATTTCAGAGAAGAAAGGAGAGAGAGAGATAGAAACATCAATGATGAGAGAATCATTGATCGGCTGCCTCCTGCACACCCCCTATTGGGAATCAAGTCAGCAACCCAGGCATTTTTCCTGACTGGGAATTGAACCATGACCTCCTGGTTCATAGGTCGATGCTCAACCACTGAGCCACACTGGACGGGCCACAATTTTATTTAAATGCCAGTACAAAATAACATTCAGAAGTTGCGGGACAGTAAGTCAATATATGCTGCTCTTAGGTAATATTGTTCAAATTTATTTTATAATGTATATAGGTTACGTTTTTCAATAGGAAAATTCTGAGATTTGACACTTTAGATTTTAAGGCTTTGAACATAGACATTATATTGGTATTTACTTATGTATGTTTAGCAATGAAGTTTAGAAGTAAATTAAGCCTCTATTATAGAATAAAGAATGTGAATTTAGCCCAGGTAGCTCAGTTGGTTAGCAGGGGTCCTCAAACTACGGCCCGCGGGCCACATGCAAATACAAATATTGTATTTGTTCCCATTTTGTTTTTTTACTTCAAAATAAGATATGTGCAGTGTGCATAGGAATTTGTTCATAGTTTTTTTTTAAACTATAGTCCGGCCCTCCAACGGTCTGAGGGACAGTGAACTGGCCCCCTGTTTAAAAAGTTTGAGGACCCCTGGGTTAGAGTGTCATCCTGAAACACCAAGGTTGTGGGTTCGATCCCAGTCAGAGCACATACAGGAGTCAACAATGAATGCATAAATAAATGGAACAACAAGTCTTTTTTTTTCTCTCTCTCTGTTTCCCTCTCTCTTCTCTCCCCTCTCTCCCCCCACTAGAATCAATCAATTAAAAATTTTAAAAGAATGTGAATTTATTTGAATGCTGTAGTATGATACTCAGATGTGTAAACTTTCCATGTGTAAAAATGGACTTTCATTGCTTGTTGTGTGATTTTTATTTATATGAAGTATCCACAAAAGGCAAATCTATGGAGACAAAGTATATTAGTGGTTGCCTAGATCTGAGGGTAGAAACAAGGAATGACTTTCAAATAGGCATAAGGCTTCTTTTTGGGGCTGGTGGAAGTGTTCTAAAATTGGATTATGGTGATGGTTGCGCAACTTTGTGAATATGCTAAAAACTATTGAATTGTATACTCTAGGTGAATTTTATTGTATGCAAATTGTACCTCAGTAAAGTTGCTAAAAATAGTCAAATTTTAAATTTGATGTAATATTTGTTATATTTAAGTATCATATTCTATTTTCATTATTAAACATTTTTTCTGCTTTTTACTTTTAAGTTTAATTTTCAAAGAATGTGCTAATGTCAAATCATGTTAATTGATAATAGTAAAAATGGCCAGCATTTCTAAAATAATTAGTATGTACTGGGCATTATGCTAAGTACTTTTCAAGATTATCTCTCAGAAACACTATGATATATGTATCATTATTCCTATTTTACAGTCAAGGAAACATGTCCTCAACTTGTCCTAAGTCACATAGCTAGGTAAGGAGTCAATCAGACAGGAATTGGAATAGAGACATTTGTCTTTTATCTTTCATGTGTGAAAATGCAATGTCGTTGATGGGAATTTATGCTGCCATTTGTAAACTGTGTGTTAAACACCCTTGTGTGGATATTCTACACCAAGCATGTCAAACTCAAAGGCTAACACGGGCCAAATAAACAAGGTTTAAGTTTATGTGGGCTGCAAAAAAACAAAAGCTTCAATTTTCATAGAAACGTAGGTTTATTTCGATAGAGACATGCTGAATACAAAGGACTGAAATAAATGAATAATTGTTAGCATAAAATAATAGAACCTTTTAATAAAAATTAATATTTTTCTTGAACATTAACTTACCAGACACTGAATAACTGCACAAATTAATAAGAGTAACTCAAATAAACCTATTTTTCTTGTTCTCCGAAAGCGAAATATTTCCTGTTGCGCACACCAAACAAGTCAGTCCAAGACTGAATGACATGGCAATTGGCTGCTAAAATATTCGCTGCTAGAATTAGTGGAGAGAAATGGTGCACCTGCATGTAAGGCGCGTAAGGGAAATGAATGCAACTTGATTATAGTAATCAGTCATTAGCGAACGTTGTAGTTTGTTATTAGTAACTAGAGGCCCAATGCATGAAATTCATGCAAGAGTAGGCCTTCCTGGCCGGGCAGGGTGGGGGGGCAGGCGGGGGGGTAAGAGATCAACCAAAGGACTTGTATGCATGCATATAAGCATAACCAATGGACATAAGACACTGAAAAAAAAGGAGAAACATGTAATACTCTTTGTAATAATTTAAGCAATAAAAAAAAAATATATATATATATATTAAAAAAAAAAAAGAGTAGGCCTTCCTTCCCCTGGCTGCCTGCACCGGCTGCCCTCTAGCACCCGGGACCCTGGGCTTCCCTCTGGGCCACCAGCAGGCACCTGGGACCTGGGCTTCCCTTGCAGCCCTGGCTTCATCCGGAAGGTCATCCGGAAGGATGTCCAGTCTAATTAGCATATTATGGTTTTATTATTATAAATAATGTATAACCGGATATTGTAAAAATTAAGTTATGAAATTTTTATTAAAACGTTTCTTACATACCATTATATTGGCTGGGCCACTAAAATATTCGTTGTGGGCCACATGTGGCCTGTGAGCCACGAGTTTGACATGCTTGCTCTATACAGCTATTTATGTGTGATCTATTAGGAAATTCAAGTGGGTGTTCAGTATTGCCTGGCTGCCATAGAGCTTGTACAACATATTGAATCTTATTTTTTTTTTTAAATATATTTTATTGATTTTTTACAGAGAAGAAGAGAGAGGGATAGAGAGTTAGAAACATCAATGAGAGAGAAACATTGACCAGCCGCCTCCCGCACACCTCCTACTGGGGATGTGCCTGCAACCAAGGCACATGCCCTTGACCGGAATCGAACCTGGGACCCTTCAGTCCGCAGGCCAGCGCTCTGTCCACTGAGCCAAACCGGTTAGGGCATATTGAATCTTATTAATCTGTTTTACTTCTTTTTCTCCACCCCACAGTCTTAATTTTAAAGATCCCGAAGCAGTCAGAGCTCTGACTTGTACTCTCCTAAGGGAAGATTTTGGACTTTCTATTGATATTCCATTGGAGAGACTAATTCCCACAGTTCCCTTGAGACTCAACTATATTCATTGGGTAGAAGATCTGATTGGTCATCATGACTCTGACAAAAGTACTCTCCGAAGAGGAATTGACATAGGTATGTGGTTTCAAATTCTTCTTTTGACTACATGTAAGTCTTATAAAATTGTCAAGGTTGAATTCTTTATAAACTTCTCTTGTATTGTGTGAAAGAACCTGACTATGGATATTACTGCTCTCATTTGCTACATGTGGGCTTTTCTGCCATTAATTCCTTTTGAGCACCAAATAGGGAGCAAATGGGTAAGAGAGGCAAAATGAGTGAGGCTCTTGTTTTCTTAGCTTTTCAGATTACCATGTTGGTATCTGTGTCTACTGGGTATTATTTTTACTCTGAATTATTTGATATTAGTAACAGAATCTCCATATTGTGATTTTTGTGATAATGGCCAGTTGATAAAAGATTGTGTAGGTCTGAATACTTTCAAGAATCTCTTGGTTATTTGTAGAGTATTTAATCAGAAATTAAAGATGGGGAAAATCATGAGTCAAAGTAAGATATTCTCTTAATTGCAAATATCTACAATGGAGAAAACTGTTCAGTTTGATTCATTTAGGAGAGCAAGTGGATATACAAAAGGAAATGAAGCCAAGGTATATTTAGCAATTATAAAGGCATTATATGTTTGTAATGGCTGACGTTTTTATGTTTCTCCCATGATGGCATTTAAAAAAATTTTTAATCCTCACCTAGGATATTTTTTCCATTGATTTCTAGAGAGAGTGGAAGGGAGGAAGGAAGAGGGGGAAGAGAGAGAGAAACATCAACGTGAGAGAGACACATCCATTGGTTGCCTCCTGCACACACCCCTACCGGGGCTGGGGAACCTGCAACCCGAGGTACGTGCACTTGACCAGGAATTGAACCCAAGACCCTTTGGCATTTTATTTTAAGGAAGAACAGTCTCGGCCATTTTAAGTCAACATATAGGAGTGCATGACCAAAGAGATAATCTTACCTGACAATCACCTATTTTAGTACTAACTACTCCGTGCATGTACTGCTTATCCACAGTGAGAGTAATTCCAAAACTATTTCCCATAAAGAGATTTTCAACTTTTCCTTCTGAATGGCTGATTTCTACAGTGCCATTTAAAAAATAACATACCATGAGTCAAGCTATAGAGAAAAAGACAAGTTTTTAAGAATCTCTTTTTAAAAAGATAGTTAAACAAAAAAAGAGATAGTTATATGTTAACTTGGAAAAATAATATATAGAACTTGAATAATTTAAAAAAGAAAAGGAAAGATCTGATTATATTACTAAATACTGTCAGGAACAACTAATGCCTGTTTATGCGAACCATTGAAACTTATTTTACCCTTTCTTCTTTTAGTCACTACATGAGGTCCTAGGGCTGATGCTCTAACCATCGAGCCAAAACAGCCAGGGTTGTTATTGTGTTTTTAAGTTTTAACTACACATTCACTTACCTGATTGACTAATGTCTTTCTCTACCATTAGCTTGCAAAGTGCAGAGCCTGTTACCTTTTTGCTTACTATAATATCCCAAGGACTAAAAACGGTCTGTTGCTTAGTAGTAGGTATCCAGTTAATAATTCGTTGAATATTGATAAGTGATTCTTTCAACTTTAAAAAATCTGAACACCCCATATAAGCTAAGCCCTATATAAAAATAATGGGGTTTAACAAAAGCTTCTGCCCTTTTATGTTCATGGCTGATGGGTTATAGAAAGCTTAAAAAGCTTGAGAGCCTATTTGGTACTAATTTATTTTAATTATGCCCTAAACCTTCTAAAATAACACTTGGGGATATAGGAGGTTAATGGATTTTAGCTTTTCATAAGGGGCACTGGTGCTGAAATCACATTCATTCTAATTAGGGTTCTATATAAATTCTTCCCCCAGACTCCATCAGTTTGCTCTAATTCCATGATTATACACTTTCCATTTTTATTTATCATTACAAGATTTTTTACCATTTAAGAATGTCATTCAGCTTTCTGAGGGGATTAGGGTTTTAAGAATTGAGAAACTTGATTTTTTTGGCAAAGGACAGGACTTTTACCTCATTATCGTTGGGCAACTGAAGGAAAGTGGGGTTTTTTTGTTTTTGTTTTTGCTTTTAAATAAAATTGAAATATGAAGAGAGAGACAGTTGTATGAGAATCAAGAGCTTGGGGATGTATGTGGTCTGAATTTTTTTTTCCCGGCAGAGATGAAAGTGCTGCTTGAAATTTCTTATTCTGCATGACTCTCTTACCACAGTGGCTAGAAGGGGTAATAACTGTGGCTTCTGAGAGGAGCTTGAGGACTCTTTACCATCCTTTCCCTCACCACATCACATGTCCCCAAAGAGGTGTTGGTCCAGAAGCATCAGGGCCTGGATGTTCGGTAAACATGATAGGAAGTTTAGCAATCACTATGACTGTCAAAAGAGCTTAAATGTTCTGGCCATCAGTTGCCGTGTTTTTTTACTAGACTGTTCAGAATACTTAATGAGGAAGCTGTAAGATGAGCCTGGGTTTCCTCTGGGTTAGTAAGAGTTCTAGCCTCCACTCTTCCTGTGCCAGGATATGACCAGAGGAAAACAGGCCTGGAGTGGCTGGTATGGGCTAACTACTTAGGCCTTGGGAGAAACACTGGCTTTTTTTTCTCTTTAAGATCTTATTGGCCAAGATTAGTCAGTGGTTGTAAAAGCAATATTTGAGATTAGTGTATAGTTAGGAGTTCTACATACAAATTTAGGACCAAACCCTGGGTGTCAAAGAATTATCTTTGCCTGTAATATTTGCCTATGAATGTCCCCTTGAAATTTTGGTGGTCAAGCCAGTGATTGATGTGTTTTTTGTTTTTATAAGATGTATTTTTTTAAAATATATTTTTATTGATTTCAGAGAGGAAGGGTGAAGGAGAGAGAGAGAAACATCAATGATGAGAGAGAATCATTGATTGGCTGCCTCCTGCACGCCCCACACAGGGGATCGCGCTTGCAACCCTGGCATGTGCCTTGTTCGGGAATCGAATCGTGACCTCCTGGTTCATAGGTTGATACTCAACAACTGAGCCATGTCGACTGGGCGTTGTTTTTGATCTGGATCAAATATGTTTCCACGTCTTCACATCTAAGATATAAATTTTCTCTTTAAATTTTTTCCCCCTTTTAATTCTGGTTTCCTTCAAGTAACAATTCACAGATATGTGGGGAACTGGGGGAAGGGGTTAATATAAAATTTCTATGCCTTATGTAATTTTTTCTACTTTTGGGGAATAGGGTGTGCATTCATCTATTTTAGTACTGTGGTGATTTAACAATTAGCATTGATTTCTTTTAAGAAAATAAAGATTTGTGTGAGATTTTAAATGAAGAGATTTTATAAAGCAAATTAAATTGTTTTGACAATTTTCAGTTAATCAGTCATGTATTCCTTGATCACCAGCCAATTATACATACTTCATTTTACATACAACAAACATACAAAAAAGAGGTTAGTAAGATTTCTATCCTCTAAGAAATTTGAATCTAATTATGGGGTAAGACTAACACATGAAATAACTAGTGGCCCGGTGCAAGATTCATGCACATTGAAAGGAAATTAATTAGAAGAAATATTTTAATATTGCTATTTGTCCTTTCTCTATAATAGAAGTGTCAATCAAATTCACAATCGACAATGACAGATCAAAACACACATACGAGATTGGCACCAGCAAGAGCTTTATATGTATCCCGCATGTGCGAGTCAATGTTTATTTTTAAATTGCCGTCGCGTGTCATATGTACTGGCCGGTTGAATGATCGGATGGACGCATGGTTGGTTACTTAGCCTTTTATATTTATAGACTAGAGAACCCAGAAGCCACTGTCAAGGCTATAAGAATTCTAAGAATGGTGTTTTTGCTTATTATTTTCTCCCTCAGGTATATGCAATGTGTTTTGAATTTTTATTTTACTAGGTACTGGAGCATCCTGCATCTATCCTTTACTTGGAAGTACCTTAAATGGCTGGTATTTTCTTGCAACAGAAGTAGATGATATGTGCTTCAACTATGCAAAGAAAAATGTGGAACAGAATAACTTATCTGATCTTATAAAAGGTTAGTATTATTCTCTCCCTCGGGTATATGCAATGTGTTTGGAATTTTTATTTTACTAGGTACTGGAGCATCCTGCATCTATCCTTTACTTGGAAGTACCTTAAATGGCTGGTATTTTCTTGCAACAGAAGTAGATGATATGTGCTTCAACTATGCAAAGAAAAATGTGGAACAGAATAACTTATCTGATCTTATAAAAGGTTAGCTCTACAGAATAAATATTCCTTTTAAGCTTTATTTTATTAACCTGTTTTTCTAATTTAACACATCTCATTCTTTTGCTTTAATATACAAACTTTGGTAATTTAAAAAATCTGGTACATTGTAATTGAATTTACTGTTTTGTTATCAGAATTAATTCAGAAAGAGGTATAGTAAATACAATCAAGCCTCATAATCTGTGGATTCTGTATTTGTGAATTTCCTACTTGCTAAAATTTGCCTACATGGGGTTATTTTTGACTCCAAAATCAATACTTGTGGTTTGGTGGTTATCCATAGACATGTGCAGAGCAGCAAAAAATTTGAGTCACCCAACATGCATGTTCCCAGCTGAAGTTGAACAAGGTGATGCTCTGCCTTCTAGTTTCAGCTCTCAGACTGTAAACAAGTGTCTTTTTCATGGTCTGTTCAGTGCCATTTTCTTTGCACTTTTGTGCTTTTTCTTGGTGATTTTATTGTTTAAAATGGCCCCTAAACATAGTGCTTAAGTCAGTGGTTCTCAGCCTTCTGGCCCTTTAAATATAGTTCCTCATGTTGTGACCCAACCATAATATTATTTTCGTTGCTACTTCGTATCTGTAATGTTGCTACTGTTATGAATTGTAATGTAAATATCTGATATGCAGGATGGTCTTAGGCGACCCCTGTGAAGGGTCATTGGACCGCCAAAGGAGTCGCGACCCACAGGTTGAGAACTGCTGGCTTAAGTGCTATCTAGTGTTCCTGAGTTCAAGAAGGCTGTGATATGCCTTGCAGAGAAAATACGTGTGTTAGATAAGCTTCGTTCAGACATGAGTTATAGTGCTATTGACCATGAGTTCAGTGTTAATGAATCAACAATATATATTAAATAAAGTACCTTTAAACAGAAACATAAAATAGGATTTATATTGATTGGTTAATGAAAATGTTGGACCTAACCTACCCTGTATTTCTCCCCAGAGCCAATAGTTCAGTATTCACTAATTCAGTGGTTATGATGACTTTATAGAACATAAATATATGTTCAGATACTGCAAATAATAGAATCAACTGTATATGAAGTAATCTGGTAACCAAGATTTTATTTATTTTTTAAAAATATTTTTATTGATTTTAGAGAAGAATGGAGAGGGAGAGAGAGAGAAACATCAATGATGAGAATCATTGACTGGCTGC